TCCTTCGTGGAGGACCAGAATTTGTGGATTGTTTTAATGGGATTCACACACCTTCTCCCAGGCCTTGGGAACCCTTTCCTCCAGGAGAATGTGCCAAAGGCACATCTGCGTTGTGGTGCTCACAGTGTCCTGGGTACCATGAGCTGTGGTGGAGATGGCTGCGGTGAGCATGGCCGCCTGATGTTGCCGACAGAAGCAGGTAATCTTGAGTCCTTGGAGTGCTTACGTCCCAGAACTGCTCCCACCAGAACCCAGGAATTTGGGACCTCAATCTTTGTTTTCCAAAGGCCTCAGGACTCCTCCTTCCTTACAGGAGAGATTTCAGGTCTTGAGCTGCCCCCATCTGCAACAGTCTCCTCCATCCTTCCTTCCCCAGTGTTTAGGACTCCTGTTCTCCAGTCCCTCTCCTTATCCTGGCTCCCAGACAGTTCTGATTCAGAGTTGGAGGAAGTCTGGGTAGAGGATGTTTTCATTTCTCCTCCACCTGAAAAAGAGCCTCGGAGAACTCGACGCAGGGGTTGGTCTGCCAACCAAGGACCTGGTGATTTTGGGGAAATTCAGGGTGAAAGCTGGTCGGCTGGTCCATGCTGCAAACCCTCCCCTTTTAATGGTAATAACTTTATTTAATTATAATTCACATATATAATTTACTCATTTAAAGTTTACAGGGCAGTACCTGTGGCTCAAAGGAGTAGGGCACGGCCCCATATACTGGAGGTGGCAGGTTCAAACCTGGCCCCGGCTAAAAACTGCAAAAAAAATAAATAAAGTTTACAGTGCCATGGGGCTTGGGGTACAATCGTTTCTTTAGGTTTGGTTCCAGGACCCTTGCAGATACCAAAATCCTTGGGTGCTCAAACCCCTGATGTAAAATAGCATAGCATTTGCTTATAACCTACACTCCCATATACTTTCAATTATCACTTGTTGGGTGCAGTGGCTTGATTCTATAGTACCAGTGGCTCGGGTAGGAGGAGGCTGAGGCAGAGGGTATCACTTGAACCCTGCCACAACACCTGGCTATTTTTTTGTTTTTGTTTTTTTAGCAGGCCTGCCCAGGTTTGAACCCACCAGCCTCAGAGCATGTGGCTGGTGCCCTAATCACTGAACTATAGATGCCCAGCCTATCTTGTTACTCTTTATTT